AAAACTTCAAGGATTCACCGATAGATTGCATGTATAATACGAGAAAGTGAGGTATCGGAGTTGATTTCTAGCTCTTTTTGTCTCTGTAGTTGAGATGGGAAAAGCTACAGGTGGCAGAGATTTGCTGGTGAAGATCAGGAATTTATTTGTGGATAGATGAGTTTGAGATGCCTGGCAAGGATCTCAATGGAGAGAGATGTTGAGTAGGCACTTGGGTATTGTAGTCTGGAACTGAAGGGAGTCTCGGCCTGAAGATGGAGATAGGGGAGTCAGTGTAACAGATGGTATGTGAAGCCATGAGACTGGATGAAATTACCAAGAGAGTGAGTTGTATGGAAAGAAGAGGTCCAAAGACTGAGTCTTGGAGCACCCCCAGATGCCACGAGTTCAGGGTGATGTGAAGGACCCAACAGAGACAGCGAGCGGCCAGTAAGGTAAGAAAATCTGAGCGTGAAGTCCTGGAAGTCGTGTCAAGTGTGAAGGAAGGAGTGGTCAGCTGCAAATAGGTCAAGTAACAGGAGCTCTGTGCATTGACTTAGTGATCGGTGTGGCCATTGGTGACTTTGACAGGTGTCAAAGTGACAAGGGAGATGAAAATCTGGAGTGTGTTTGGGAAAGAATGGGGTATCCTCACAATAAGAAAAAAATGCTAAGCAAACTGAAAATCAACTTTTCTTTGATCCATCAAAGAATGGAGATCACAGGGAAACCACCACAAAAACTAAAGAAAAAAGAAAATACAGATCACTTCACTGAAAGGAGAAGCTGCTGGAGCCAGTTATCAGGATTGAAGCAAATTACTGGGGACTGAATGTGGACTCGCTTGAGAATTTAAAACTCCTGGGAGTTACCCTAAGGGGACCCCACACTTTGGTGGGTTTTACCTCCAGAAGTTTCCTTAGGTTCTCAATGTGAAGATGGCAGAAAAATCCCCTCCTGCAAGGTGGAGGGGGAAAGTAGCCATTTCAAAATACACCCAGACTTTCTGCTTCCATGGCAGAAGGCCGTGCTCAGGGAAAACTGCTTTGCCTGAGTCTTCCCTGACCTTGGAGAAGAGCAGCTAGATGGCTTAAGACCCCTCTATCTAGCCTTCCTGTCTCACATAAGAAAAAAAAGGCTAAGACTTTTCTGAAGGTTTTGGCCCAGGGACTCCATCTCACTAAAAAAGACAGAATAATTCTCAAAAGATACAGAATAATTCTCCCTAATACCATACCATCAGTAGGGCTCCAGTATTACAACAGTGGATTATAGCTTTTGAGAAAGCTACAAGACACACACTCTATTTCAAGAAGGAGTTTCTAGGGAAACCCAAACACAGAAAGGGAAGACAAAAACAAGGACACCGAAGGAAATCGAAACCTCTGACAGCAGATTGAACACAGCCTAGCTGCTAGTCGTGTAAACATAAAACCTCACACTCAAGGCCCATTGACCTCAGTTCCTGTTACCCAATATATATCATGTCCAGCCTCCAATAAAAAGTATACAAGGATGCTAAACAAAAAAAGTCTGATAAAGCAAGCATCAGAACCAGACTCAGATATGGCAGAGATTTTAGAGTTATCAGACTAGGAATTTAAAGTAACAATGATTAGTATGCTGAGGTCTCTGATGGAAAAAGTGGACAATGTATAAGAACAGATGGGTAATATATATAAAAGATGGAAACTCTAAGAATCAAAAAGAAATGCTAAAAACAAAAACAAGAGAATCAAATACCTTTGAGGGGCTCATCAGTAGTCTCAAAACACCTAAGGAAGGACTCAGCTTGAAGATATGTCAAGAAAAATGTTCCAAACTGAAATTTGAAGAGAAAAAAGGAATAATGTTTTTTAAAACATGGAATATCCAAGAACCGTGAGACAGTTACAAAGGTATAACATATGGGAATACCAGAAAGGGGGGGGCAGAGAGGAGGGCCCCAGTAGAGGTAACTCCAGAGGCTTTGCAATAAAGGGGATCAGAGAATGAGGCTATTATAGGAGGGGGCAACCGGGGTAGAGTTTTGTTTTTAGGGGCGCCTGGGTGGCTCTGTCTGTTAAGCATCCGACTCGATTTAGGCTCAGGTCATGATCTCAGGATCATGAGATCGAGCCGTGTTGGGCTCTGTGCTGGGTGTGGAGCCTGCTTAAGGTTCTCTCCCTCTCTGCCCCCACCCCTCAGGCTCACGCATGCTCTCTCTCTTTAAAAAAAAAAAAAAAAAGTTTTGTTTTTAAGGCTTGTTTTGTATGCTGATAGGAGTGATCCAGGAAAGCAGGACATTTTGATGCTGCAGGCGGGCGAGGGTCTTGCTGGAACAATGCCCTCAAGGATGCAAGAGGAGGTGGGATCTAGCCCACAAGTGGAGGGACTGGACAAGGAGCAAAGTATGAGAGGAGGGCTGGCAGGTGGGTGTGTGTGAGATGGTGAAGCTTGTGGAAGTTCTTTCCTGATCGCTTCCATTTTCAAGGTCATAGCTGAGAGACAAGCTGGGGGAAAAGCGGGTGGAGGCTTGAGGCCTTATGAATTAGTCTCAGAAGAGACTGAACAAACTGGAGGAATATAAGGTGGTTGCCAGCTGGTGTTAAGGCCTCCCTTAAAGCCCAAATTACTATGTTCTATTTATCATTATTACATGACTCAATATTTTGTCACAATATAATTTGTTGGAAACGTATCCCTGCTTCACTAGCATCTCATCACAGTAAGGATTGGGGTTCCCAGGAATGAGGCATCAAAATTGCACGGTTAGATCTCCTTAGTAGGCCAAGTGGTTACTCTGTTATCATATAATATGCTATTATTTCCCCTGGTTATTGTGTATGGTCATTACTCTCGGGGGGAGCGGCTATCAGGCATATAGTTGAACAAATTTAACAGGTGCCTTCTAGATCTCAAGGCACCAAGAGGGATGAGATAGCACAGTATTTAAAGTCCGCCTTGGGGTGCCTGGGTGGCTCAGTCGTTAAGCGTCTGCCTTCGGCGCAGGTCATGATCCCAAGGTCCTGGGATCAAGCCCCATGTCGGGCTCCCTGCTCAGCAGGAAGCCTGCTTCTCCCTCTCACTCCCCCTGCTTGTGTTCCTCTCTTGTGGTCTCTCTGTCAAATAAATAAATAAAAATATTTAAAAAATAAAAAATAAAGTCCGCCTTCATGACGCTTACATTTTGTGGGGAACAAAATACACATCAGGTAGTAAAAGAACAGGATGAGGGGGTAGGGACTCTGCATTGCTACTTGATATTGAAGGGTCAGGGAAGATCTCTGATAAATGACATTGAAGCAGAGACCTAAAGGAAGGAAGGGAGTAAGCCTTTGATATATGTGGGGGAAATAGTGGGCCAGGCCCTTGTATCTATCTCTACTTTCTAAGCAGATTAAGTAGAAGAGGTGACACCCATTTATGTTGACATGCGGCCGCTTTTTACGAAATGCAATAAAACGTTAAACACATCCACTCCTCTCTTGCTGAAATACAATACCATTTATACTTAATAATACCTTTTTCCTCTTTGAGTAGCAGATTTGGGGTTTTACAGATTCAACTTGTTCCACTTAGCTGTATTTAATATTTCCTTACTGATCACGTTGTCGCAGCCTGGCCAGTGGGAGCCCCATTAAACTGGCTGCTTTGTGCTCTCAAACGGCCTCAAGCCTTTTTTTTTTTTTTTTAAGATTTTATTTATTTGACAGAAAGAGACACAGCGAGAGAGGGAACACAAGCAGGAGGAATGGGAGAGGGAGAAGCAGGCCTCCTGAGGAGCAGGGAGCCCGATGTGGGGCTCGACCCCAGGACCCTGGGATCATGACCTGAGCCGAAGGCAGGCGCTTAATGACTGAGCCCCCCAGGCACCCCTGCCCCAAGCCTCTTTTAAAGCACCCTTGTTTTTTGGCAACAAGGTATTCCAGGCCCGCTGTGATCCCCGCCCCAAAATATAATTAGCCCTTTTCCACAGAGCCCTGAGTCGAACCAGAGGCCCAATCTGGCGCAGGAGTGTGCATCCCACTTGATAGGCATTAGAACCGGTTATGGCAGGATGACACTGCTCTTGGGCCACCAGGGAAACAAAGGCCTGGGAAAGAAATCTTTTTTAAGGTCCTGAGTTCGCACAGGCATCTCCAGAGGAGCCATCCTGACTAAATTCTTTTTCATTTCATTCCAATATAATTTTTTTCTAGAACATACCTACTTAAAATGTAATCCCTTCTTTACCAGATAAACAAAATGTGGTATATCCGTACCACAGAATACTGTTTAGCAATAAAAAGGGACTACTGATACGTGTTAAATGGATTAACATTATGCATCAAAAACATGCTCCGTGAAAGAAGCCAAACCCGCAAGATGCCATGCCGTAGGATTCCACTGATAAGAAATATCCAGAAAAGGTAAATTGTAGAGACAAAGCAGATCTGTGGTCACCTGGGCTGGGGTAGGAATAGGGAGCTCTTGGGAGGATAGAAATGGATGTGGTAGGAAATTGCACAGCTCCATAGACTAAATAAAAATCACTGAGTTTATATTTAAAATAGGTGACTTTTATGGGCACATAAATTATATTTTAATACAACTGATAAAAAATTAAACCCTTCTGCCAACTTCTGCTTGTACCTCAATTGGTTATATTGACCCAAGATGTTCCATTATATTTACTTTTCTAACAAAAAACCCACCTAAACCTATTTTCCATACCCTGCAGTTTTTATATCCCTCCTGCTCACAAGTCTCCTTATTCTTTGAAGAAGCTATATCCTTGTTTGGATCCCAGGTACAGCCGGAACATCACAATTTATTGCTCATCTGCTCATTGCCACCATTTTCCACAGGTGCTTCATTTTTACGAACTATTTTCTTTTCCCCCTGATGACTGAAGAGGTCACCAGTTGCCGCGATTGTGCCGTCCTTTAGAGCCGTTGTGAGGAGTGAGTGTGAAGTGTTGCTCACCAGCTGTTCCCAAAATATGTAAATATCAACCCAGACCACCCTCTGACCTCTGGGGGTGCAAGTCCACAAAGACATATTTTATTTGAAAATACTGGATTTAATAGAAAATATCACATTGTAAACAAGTCCGCTGATCCGTTAGCCTAAGACAGAATGACCGCACAATCACGTAGAAAAGCTCAAGACCAAACACTGGGACCAGACACAGCATTTGAAGAGAGGCCTGAGCCAGTCTCTGAAGGATCTTTCCCAGAAAGAGAGGAAGCAGCAGCTTCAAACAGGCACAGCAATAGGGAGGTGACGGCAGCATCCACTGCACGAAGGCTTAAGAGTCAAAGGCAGAGCAGTAAACTCACTTTGTGACTAAGGGGGAAAGACAAAGGGGCAAAAGGGTTGTATTTCCTGATGTTCTGGGAACGGCAGAGCGCGCCACAGGAACCTGAGCGGGTTGGAAGGGCAGGGTATTTTAAGTGGGGAAAGGCTATTATTAGGCAAGTTTAGAAGCATTTGGTATATTGTCTTGGCGCACTCAGGGAAGGAGAACGTGTCACTCGTGTTGTGACTAAACTTAGGCCCGACTGAGCTGTTGCCTTGGCCTCCATCTCCTTAGCTGAACACACTGACATTGTGGCAGGCTCTGTCGCCCCAGTGAGACCTTGGAACAAAAACATGGGGCTCTGGTGGGAAGAGGGTTTCCGCCTTCCTCCAGGTGCCAGAGGATCCCGGAGGGAGGGGAGTTTGATGTGGTTAGGCCCCGTGAGACTCTGAGTTTATCAGCAAAAGCCTTCTCTTTAGCCCTAGCCACCCAGATCCTCCTCCCCCAAGGAGTCCTCCGAGTTCATGGAAAGGCCAACTGTGAGAGCAGAAAAAAAAAACGACAACTAGGGAAAGAAAGGAAGGAATCATTTTCTTTCCATGGCACTTGTAACTGAACAGAAGGTTAAGAGTTTGTTCCTTAATCTGGAACAGTGATTCCCAAATGAGAGGCAGGCCTACTCAAGAGGGGCTTTCAAAGAGGTTTGGGCCAATATACAGAGGCCCCCACTACCCCCAATTGAGAATCAGTGTATGTAATGATAGAAATTCCTGACGGGAGTGTGTTATACATGAGAACAGTGCCAGAGGCAGAACAAAAGCTAAAAAACCCTAATCTGTGTAGGGCAGACATCAAAATTATGGAGTACATTTTTCAGAGACTTTTTTTCTGATTAAAGTAGTTACAGAACAAGTCCTTCTCCCTGTAGCTAAACTCTCATGACTAGGCTCCATGCTGCATAGCCAAGAACAATAAGTATACCCATTTATCTGGAGTAACCATTCTGGATTAAAGAAATACAATTCTGTCCTCATAAAGGCAATTTCCAGAATTGCTCTGCCTGTCCTAAAGAGGTACTCGATGCTAGGATGAGCACAGGCTAATCACCGTATGGCTTCTCAGAAGACTGGTTTTTCTCTGTTTCTTTCTCTTTGATGCTGTACAAGGGGTCCACCAACTTGTTATGAACAAGCATTAAACCTGTGAAAAATTAAAAACAAAGGTAGTTAATGCAAGTAGAGGCAGAGTTCCACGATTATGAACAATAACATCCAGGAGCTCTCAAATTTTGTCCTAGTACTGAAAATCATCATCTTTTCTCTGTGGCTCCAAATGACCAAAATACTAAGAGTAGGAAAAGAATTTATTATTCCCAATGAATGCTAGAATCCACGGCCCTTTTGTAAATTCACTCTTTAGAGGTGTTGGCTATTGAAAGGTTAATCTTTTCACCAAAGAATAAATTCCTAATTTGCCTGCTTAGTAAATGAGGGTTTTCCCCTAAGTTTGCCCAAAGCAGCATGTCCTTATTTATTTATTTATAAGATTTTATTTGACACAGAGAGAGCCAGAGAGAGCACAAGCAGGGGGAACGGAGCGTCAGAGGGAGAGGCAGGCTTCCCGCTGAGCAGGGAGCCCGATGTGGGGCTCGATCCCAGGACTCTGGGATCATGACCTGAGCTGAAGGCAGACACCTAACTGCCCAAGCCACCCAGGTGCCCCCCAGTGTGTCCTTCTTAAAGTAGAAGAGAAAAAGATCCTCATGAGAGTTCAGCACCCCACCTAGAGGGAAGGCTTGGATGAGTCCTGGAAAGATAAAAAAAAAACAACCCTGAGCTTCAATAGCCCTGCCAAGAGATCACCACATAGCCCTCAGACTATTTTTCATTTGTCTTCTTGCCTCCGTAGAACAAACAGGCCTCCAGAAATAGACCCTTGCAGTCATGGGTGGAAGAGCAATGACTGTGTGTTCCGGGACCGTAAGGTTTGGTTTTTATTAACATCAGAGTTGTCTATGAAAATGGCCAGAGCCAGAACACGAGAACCGCTCCTCACACCCGGCATACCCCAAACTCCCCGCCCCCTCCCCTCACCTTTGAAATACTTGACGGTTTTCACTTTCAGCTCCAGGGTGGCGTCCTCGTCGCACACAAATACTGTGCGGGGATGCTGCTGGAAGGCGGATACGGTCCACATGTGGCTCACTCCCTCCTCAATGGCCTTGTACAGAGCAAATGCCTTGTGTGCACCTGTGATGAGGATCATCACCTGGGGATCAGAAAACAAGCCTGTGATGGAGAATGAGCAGTGGAACCCGGAGTCCAGAATCCTGAGTTCTGGTCCAGTCACCCCCACTGGCTGCAAGCACTGTTGTTTTCAGTAGACCATTTTAAGTTGTAAGCCTGCAGCACACTGTGCTCCCTGCTCCCTGCTCCCTGCTCTCTGCTCTCTACCTTACTGCCCAGAGAACCTGAGGCTGGGAGCATCACCATCCCCATGTTCTGTGATGAGGAAATGTGCTCCAGGGGATTAAGGAGCTTGCCCCAGGGCATTTCTGACCCGGAGTCCATGCTCTAGCCCACCCTGTGATGGTGCCTCCTGGTACCTTTGATGACCGCTACGAACACATACGCCAGACAAAGGCCCATGCCTCTAATCCCAGCAGTTGGGACAGAGTCCCAGGGGGTCCTAGGCTGGGTGAGTTTCCACAAGTGCAGTCTGAAGAAGAGGGGTTCCAATATGCACCATCTACAAGGGGCCATGGAAGTGATGGTCATGGTTGTGTGTGTGGCCGCTGAGGTTCCATCCCACAAAGGCAGCCCCTTAATCCGGTCACTCTCAATGCCAAGTATTAGACTGACTAATAGGACTTGGGGTGATATTTTATGTTCAAACAAAACAAAGGCACAGACTCCCTCAACAGTTAAAATATCAAGAACATAAATGCCGGAAAGTGACTGTAAAGGAACTCTGCTCTCAAGATTTCACTGTAATTCGATGTACCATGGAGTTGTGAACAGGATTTACTGTTTCTCCCTTAAAAGATGAGACATCAGAGGCATAATGAGAATGCAACTCTTTCTGTTCAGGACCCCAGAACTCCTGATTTCCAGACCCAGGTCCTTTCCCAGATTATAATACCCTCCCATGACAGGGAGAGCCCTCACACCCTAGTGCTTCCATGCTGTCCAGCCAAACACAGCAGGGTGACCCCCAGAGATACTGAGTCAAGGTCACCCAAGAGAAAGCTGGTGACCTCCCGCATTTCACAAAAGTTCTCCTGAAATAGGGAGCTTTTTTCACTATGTAGATGTTTGTTTACAGATCTGGGCAAAGAAACGTGAAGCTACAATGTCGGTAACTGCTTCCCACTGAATATACCCCTGAAAGGAAGAGACAATGCTTTTAAAATTCTAATGAAAGACAGTAAAGAAACTGGAACCACAAAAAATTAAAATGATACCCAACTTTCTAGGGAAAAACACACTCAACTGCGTTTAGACACTTATATTTAAATCACACTTCTCCGTGTTTACGAGTCCCCGAGCACAAGGCCATAACCACAAATATCCTGGGGTAGCAGGGGGAGCTCCCTTCAAACAGTGACCTCCACCAACTGCAGGGAACCAGCAGTCCCTCTCAGCACCTGGGCAAATGCAAATTCCTATTCGGACGTGAGTAGTGCGGGGCTCCTCTGCCTTGAGAAGCTCCAAAGGGGTGCGTCAGCAGAGGCCGGGGAGCCTGCAGCCTCCCGTGTAGCCAGTGTGGAAAGGGTGCCACTGAGAATAGACCAGTGGTTGCCTCCAAAGAGGAAGGAGGACCAGTGAGAGGATCAGCTGGGATTTTAGCCGTATTTAAATTTTTTTTTTTTAATTTTATTTATTTATTTGAGAGAGAGAATGAGATAGAGCATGAGAGGGGGCAGGG